ATTAAGGAGTCCTTCAGCTGGAAATCGAACCCAGACCCTTCACACTGATGACAAGATTTCTACTTCTGAAACATCGGTGTTTCGTCCCACATTGTCAACGAGCGTAAATTACGGAAATTTTAAAATTGTGAAGTGACCTCACGTCACACAAACGAAATATGAATTATTTACGTCAGTGGAGCAACGGTTATTGTGCAGATGGGTACACAGGAACAACAGCATGAAGTCGTAAAAGATGAAATAAACAACGCGTAAGGTAGAAGGTTTTATTACTATTTACAACAATGAAATTACAAATAAGCGACTAAACACAATCTTACTTGTTTTTTGTTTGTTTTTTTCGATTCCTTCACGTTCCCAGTGGAGCACAGGGCTTCACGCTAGAGGCTTGAAGTTTCTGTAGCAGTGTTTGTTTTTACAGGATAAATTGTTAGCTTCATGCCTAATATTCCATCTTTGCTAGTTCTATTACTGACTTAGCGAGGTAAGGCAGGAGTGCGTCAGTGGCTGGGGATCGAACTCTGGACCATGTGCATGGTTGGCAAGCGTCCTAACCACTGTGCCACCAACGCAACAATCTTGCATGCACTGAAACTTAAAATGTGAGACATTTACCGAAACAATGTGAAACAGTGAACAAACACACCTACTTTTTAGACAGAATCAAAGATTTGAGGCACTGCATCTCAACTGTATGTTCCTGGTTGATCAGTATTTTGTTGTTAACTACCTTCTTGGTCTGATCGAGTTTTCTTCCGAACTTTGTGCAATTAATTATTTTAATTTTTAATATCAGTGATAGTAATTATGTCACTACAAAGCGCATATTGTTGTTTCCTCAAACTTCGCGCTTAGCTTCTTATTAGAATACAATAGGAATGTACGTCCTTATTTCACTAGTCCTATGCATATTTAAGGCTGTCTGAAACTGAAAGGAAATGGATATTTTATAATGCGCATCTTATTATGTTTGCTTTCCGAAGATGGTCAAGAGAACACATTTTAATGAGACAATAATTAGTACTTTTCTGTTGCATTTGAAGTGAAATACACAGATTCAGTCGCACACATCTAATCACTCTGTTTAGCTGGCTCCATCATTGGTCATACGTTTTAATTTCCTCCTAACACGACATTCTACACTTCACCAAAGGAGGAACATCACACACCATGAGATTATTCAATTACGAGTGCAATGGTAACATGCAAAGATTCAGGAATATCAGATGTAAATTATGTTAATAATAAAGTGTGTTTTGGTGTTCAACAGTGGTTATATAAATCTCCACAACGTGAACAAATCCACTCAACAATATTTGAGATTACTGTTACGGCATGTGTTACTAATAATATTTATCAGTAGTTTACAAAAAGACTTTCTTCGACAAAAGACCATCAAATAACAGGAAGTTGGATGTGATGTCAGGGAGAGCAAATAACACAGCGTAGCGGAGATACATAAAAGACGTGATAAGAACACAAAGAAACACAATATGAAGGAAGGCTAGAAGAAGCAGGTTCAACACGGAAGATTTATGTAAATGGTGCACTGTAGATAAGGTGTTCATAATTTGGCTATATAGAGATATCAAATTCCAAGTAGACTTTCCTTTACCACGACTCTCATCTTCTACCGCTAAACTGTTATTTTGCTATTTCATATGATGGAATTACGACGAAATATATTTCGTGTGCATCTTTTAAATTATTTTTGTCTAACATGCTGTAATCAAGATTTTCTATTGAAACTGATGAGGTTTTGTTAGAATAGGGTCGTCACTGGTACTTCAACAGGTTAGTTCGACCTTGTGGATGCCACAGTAAAATCCTGAAAAAATTGAGCCTGATGTATGAAACCTACTAAATAATCACTAGTGGAAATCTGATTTACCTCTATGTAGCTACCACCATGAAGTCAGAAGAATTGGCTGAAGAAAAGAGAAATATAACCAGGAGGAAAATGCACAAAACGATCTCTAAATATTTCAGACCATGGGAGTATATGCACTTACTTATTTTAAGGATGAAGATTATCCGCAAATGATGTGAAAAGAGCTGAATCTTTGAAGCTGAATTTCAAACTACAAAAATATACCTGAAACCAAGCACCACATGAACACGATTCGGCTTCCATTTTACACTGCATGCTCAAGAAATAAACAGGAAATTGAAGCATATTATGATTTAAATACTAAGTCGTAAAAAATTGTGTTCTTTTGATCCATTGGACTGGTCGTGATCCTATTTCTAAAGATGGTTCATTTTTAGTAAAAAGCCACTCAGTAACTATCATATGCTGGCTTTAAAGTTATATTGCTGATGCTCCTACCACATTTTCTCTTGAGATGCACAGTGAGTCTACGTGAGAATGAAATGGTTCATTTTATTATGTCTACCGACAGAAAGTGAAATATATGAGCATAAATCCTATAGAAGTAACCGAAATCCTTAAATATAATGAACGCTGACTTGTTTGACATTCTAACTTGACGACTTACTTTTTAAAGTGCATAAAACCATTAACTTGTGACAACACAGAGGAGCTTTGGTGAAGTTCAATTTCTTTCGAGAGTCAGTGGTTTGCCCCACTTATTTCTAGGGGAACACCACAAAAACTAGAGAATATTGGATTATTTTACAAATAATTTCTATACTTTAATTCTTCCGTAGATTATAATTGTATGCATCCTGTTGTGTTATTGGTATAATCGAGTTAACAGACAGGTAATATTAACCGGTATTCCTTGTTTACCTTCTCGTTATTTCAACAACTAACTAGTCTTTTATTGAAGTCTAAAAATTCAGAATTATCATGAACATATATATGCACAAATTATTGGAATACTAATTCATAAAATAATTTATGTTTAAGTACTGGTTTGTAGGGTTTTTTGTTTGACTGATTACAGGATTTCTTCATGAGCTGACATCGGCTAGAGAACCATTAGAAAACTTGAGAATACTGGACAGACGTTTCGCCTTCTGTTTGGTCACCTTAGGCAGTAGGCACCCATACTAGGACGAAACAGCCAGGTTTTCCAATGGTTTCAGCTCATTATGAAATTCCCAAATCAAAAGCATTTATAAATTTCTGCCACAGACAATTAAACAGTGATAAAACCAATGTGTAAGCTTTGCGTTTAAGACATCAGCACCATGTTTCATCGTCTTCTTATATTTAATTTTACGGAAGAACGTTCCTGAATGAAATACATTGTATAGGTGCTTAAAGAAATAAAAGATGATTGCATGGAGGATTTCATCATGAGCTGACATCAGTTACCAGTGGAAACCACTGAAAATGATGAAATCCTCCATGCAATCAAACAAAAATCCCTACAAAACCAATACTCGAAAATAAAAGATGATTCGATAAAATCATCTTCAAAGACTGTGCAATCGTATTTATATTCACTAAACCGTATAGTGATAGAGTGACACATTTAATGCAATTACTCTTGAGTAGTTTTTGAAGACTGAAACGTTTCAAGTGAGTCCTCTTTTTCGAGGAGATTTTGGGACATATATTTGCAGTTATTTTTTAACAAGATAGGAGATTCTTTTCCATAGTTGATGGAGTTTATTTCTAGATACGTACATTTCAGCATCCAACTCACTCCTTTAACTGAGCACAAATTATTCCACAACTCCCAAATACATTCATCGGTATACGCCCAGAGATAACGATGTTTATGCTGTCAACTTAATTGCAATTGTCATTTACCACACCTCTTTATTAGAAACTTGAAGTACTTCAGCGCCAAAATGACACAAATCCATATATCAATGAAGAATAGTTATTACTAGTTATCTGATATATGTCATTCGTACCGAAAATCATTTATTTCTTGAATGAAAGCTATCTAGTAACGATGCATTTCTATTTATCTACTAATCAGAACTAATTAATTAAATTCTAATTTCCCATTTTCTCAACATAAAAGTACATTTTTGTGATAGGAATCAAACTTATATTAATAAATATAACGTCATCAATGAATAAGTTAGTTAAGCTGCCTGCTTCCACGTGCATTTATATTTTCATCTGATATTGTGTAGCCATAGAGGCTGTTGGTTAGTTCGCCGTCTACCAGAGCTCCTTAATGCTCATCCTTCTTGCACAGTGAGTGATCTTGTCTCCAACAAGGGACGAAGGAAACTGTTGATGAAAGGCTACAGTGACTTTTACGCGACTAGTCTCTGAACCATATTGTATCATTATTTCGATGTTAGTGTTGAGAATTAAAATCTTCATACATTTATTCCCCTTTAATGAATTTCAATAAAGCAAGAACAACAAAATTAGCAGAATAAAATGGTACCATCACTTATTTCAGTAGCTTCTCATCATCTGCTTGCACGCCAAAGTCATATGCATGTATTGAGTGATTGATTTTTGTTTAAAAATGAACTATGTGCAAGTATTTTAAAATTGTTTCTGTAGATATACTTAATAATGACTTTGGCCTGTAAGCAGCTGAAGAGAAGTTGTGGTGAGAGATGGTTGCTAGCCAAATTGGTTGACAGTAATTGACGTCAATGTTAGTCATGTGAAAACAAGGTCAAGATGGACAGGCGGATACAGTTAACATATAGATGAACTGACACAGCCACAAGAGATGCAAGGTTAACTTTGTGTGAGAAACAACCAATCAACAAACTGTATTTTCTACTAACATTAACCTACAATAATGTACATCAAAATCTATAAATATGTGTTGATTTTCCATAATAAACGTTCTGTTGCCTGGCCCTTGTCTTCTGTTGTTACAAAGTTAATGAAATAAGTGACGGTACCATTTTATTACGCAAAAACTGTTGTTCTTGCTTTATTCAAATTAGAAACTTGTGCATTCTAAGTTTCGCAGATTTCCACACTCACTTTAGAACAATAAAGGTATGTATTATACGGCGGCCTGCTTAAATCTTGGGCTACCAAAATTTTCATCCTACATATTGCATCTGTTTCCTCGGATTTATTTTATTTTAATCATTCAATTATGTGTCCTAATCGTATTGTTTACTCTCGCGGTTATTTAAAACGTTTCCAACCGGCTGATTTACTAGTTTCTAACAAACTTAAGAAAAAACCTCATGGTGGATGGCAACGAGCTTTAAAGCGTACTCCAATGCATTTGATGATTGTTCCTGTGATTATGAGCACAAATTGCAGATCTCTACCAAACAAGATTAATTACTTGCATCCTCTATTATACTCAAATATATATTGTAATACTGATGTAATTACTCTTCAAGAAACTTGGCTGCACGATTCATATGACGATAATTTAGTCTCTTTACCTGACTTCACAATGTACAGACAAGACCGATGCAGCTCAAAGAAGAAGGGAGGTGGAGGTGTGGCCACTTTTATTAATTCTCAGTGGTCTACTGCCAACAACGTCTGCTTCAAATTCTCAAATTACAACATTGATTGTATAACTGCTAAATGCCGACCCAAACACTTATCTAAGTATAAATGCATTTTTATCACAAATATCTATGTCACACCTTCTTGCAGTCCCTCAGAACTATCGATGTTTGCTGACGAATTCACTATTTTTGCTGCTGCTTCGTTTGGTAACTCCTTGTCTGTAGTAACTGGTGACTTCAACGCCAGTGACTACAGTTTTATTACATTGCTGGGTCATGAAAATGTGGTTAACTTCCCAACGCGACAAGATACTTCGCTTGATTTAGTATTCATGAATGATTCTGGAATATACGAAGCTCGTAAAAGAGCTCCACTCTCAAACTCTGATCACTGTATTGTACGAGTTCTACACAAAGTTTACGGAAAGTTACACAGAAAAGCCTTGTCTAACTTGTCCAAGAAAGTTGTTCACAGATGTTACTCAAATGAGAATGTACAACATCTTAGAAACATGCTCAGTGACACAAGATGGGATCTGTTTAATGTTTTTTCACTTGATGACACTATCTCTAATATTACGTCTTATCTGAAATTCTGTTTTGAAATCTGCTGCCCAAAAGAAACACTATTCGTCAAATTCGACCATTTTTCCTCCCCTCAACTTAAAAAGCAGCGTAGAGAGAAGGAAAAGCAATATAAAATGAAAGATAAAAGTGGCGTAAAAAGAACTAACTTCCTTATCAAGTCTGAAATGCAGAGATTGAATGTTATATATAACCAGAAATTCATATCCTGCAAAAATGCTTCAAATATGTGGAAACTATTTAAGGAAATCACTGGTAGTAGGCAGATAAACAATATTCCGTATTCTTCTGATGTATGTACTCTTAATAAATCTTTTATTTATTCTCCCTCAAATTCCATGCTTCCCAGTATCACTAGTGTTAATAATAGCCCCTTTCCAGGTTTTAACACAAATGATTTTCAAAAGTGCCTCAAGTCTCTGAACCCTTCCCAGAGCTTAGTTCCAGATCATGTACCTAGTATTATTTTCAAAAAGTGTTCTGATATTCTATGTTACCCTCTCACTGATCTGTTTAACAAATCTTTTTCCAGTAATATTGTGCCTGGTGTTTGGAAAGACATTAAAGTTGTACCCATACCTAAATCGTCTACTGGAGCATGTGTCAAATTTAGACCCATTGCTATTACCTCTCCTTTTTTGAAAACTATGGAGAAACTACTTCTACTTAGTCTTGTACCTTCGCTTAAATCCCTTAATGACCCAAAACAATTTGCCTATTAGCACAGTAGAAGCACTTTAGATGCAGCTGCCTTCTCATATCATAACATTGCTTCCAGTCTAGACAAAGGGGCTAAATTTGTTCGCTGTGCCTTCCTAGACTATACATCTGCTTTTGACTCGGTCCCTAGGGACATCTTATTAAATAAACTTGCTGCAAGTCAAACAGAATGTTGGGATGTTAACTGGTTACACTCTTATTTCTCAGAAAGAAAGCAGTACACCGTGTATAAAGGGAAGTCTTCCACTTCATTGCCTACTGAAGCTGGTGTCCATCAAGGCGCTGTCCTTTCTCTTTTTCTTTTTTCTTTCTTCTTACATGACTTGCCTCAGTCTGATGAAATAAACTTTGTGAAGTACGCTGATGATTTAACAGTTTCAATGGCTGTTAACTCCCAGCTAGATTGTACCAAAATAAATATCTTTCTGTCAGGAGTCAGTAAATGGTCTGAGTCTAATGTTCTTAAACTGAATCCTTCTAAATGTCAAACTGTTAATTTCAGCTTAAGATGTAAACGACAGTTAAATGAAGCCGTCGATTCTCATGAGAGTTGTAAGATTGATGACAATGATATAGGAATTAAATCAGAAATTAAGTATCTTGGGCTTATTCTTTCTTCTGATGTCTCCTGGTCTTCCCATGTCTCAGCGATCTCCAGTAAAATATTCCGCCTGACATTTTACATTAAGAAGAAGTTAAGGCACTTAGGTATAACTCAACCCCTTCTCTTACCGTTCATAAACTCTTGCATCCTACCTATTCTTCTTTATTGTTCACCCTTATTCTTTCCTGGTTTGCTTAAAAAGGACTTTGTCACAATTCATAGAATGCTGAAGACTCTCAGTAGGATGAGTGGTGTCCCAGTGGACTACATAGTTAACGTCGTTGTCGATAGGCATTTGACTTCAGGCAGTAAATTTGCTAAAGAGATTTTGTCTGACTTGGAGCATCCACTTCACCCTCAGCTTTCACCTTGCATCTCCTCAGGTAGAACAAGAAGTAACTTCAGAAAACTGTATGCTCGCACGTCTAAGTATAAAAATTCTATGATAACATACTTGGCACGTATTTTATGTGATGAAAATAGCATCAGGCGAGAATTGAGTAACCTTTTTTCATCTAGTAAATAAACAATATCCTCCATCCATCCTTATATACCTTCAAGTTTTACTTCTATTATTTCTATTATATTTATGGTCCTGTTGAATCTTTGTTTTCACTTCCATAACTGCAAACACCAACTTATCTCTATGACTTCTGTAATCTTTGTTTTTTCCCTCACCATATCATGTAAAGAGAACATTATATTCAATATTTTTAATCATGCAAGGATTTGTATACCGCTACGACAATACTGTGTGAAACAAGCCCATGCCAATTTCCACTTGTATTATTATCACTACCTTAGCTGCTATCATTATTATTATTTCCATTTTATATGCTGCATGTTTTTTTATTTTTATTTTTTTTAATATTAACCCTATTGTAAATGTAGAAAAATTTTCTGTGTGATTAATTTTATTTATAATTTGAGGAAATTAGATACAATATTGTGATTAATGCTGAAAATTCCATTCTGTATCACAAGTACTATTTTTGGAATTAAGTAAATCTTTATTATTATTGCTTATAATATTAAGGTGTATGCGTTACTCTTTGATCACGAGAGTTTGAGTTTACAAAATGCTGTATATACTTCTTATAAATTCATTTACAAAGCAGCGTTGATCGGTCATGGTATGAAGAGCAACTTTGTGTTGTTTCATATCCTCCATGATAACAATGCAAGGTTACTAATGTGTGGAATATGGTCACTATACACGGATACTGTTCATTACATGTACCATGAGGTTGGTATGAATTGTTTGAAGACAACGAATGGATAGTTTAGAAGTGTAAGAATTCAATATATTACATAAGGTAATACAAAATTTTTATTTCAGGAGTTCAAAGAAGGATAAACATGTGATCAAACATTAATTTCTTTTGAAGATAAAGGATGTTGTGCATGTCTGTAGCAAAAATAAAGTGATATGTTTTCTTATAATTACAGATTAGGTTTCTTTGCCTCCATTTAGAATCCCTCAAGAATCAAATGTATTCATCACACCTTGAATACGATTTTAAATAACGTTTAACTATACCTAATGCGTCAGTTTTATCTTTTAAAATAAGACAAAGTGTGAGGCTTTTGATACAAGGTGGAGAGAGAAAATGTTCTTGCTTTACCATGCTTTGAAGAATTTCACAAATAAATGCCTTTTAATTTATGCAATGTAATTTTACTATGAAATTTGAAATGTTTAGTTATGCGGAGATGAAGATTCCACTGCAGTTATAGTTAGACGCCTATTGGTTGTTGCATTTTTTAACAAAATATCACTAAACGTTTGACATTCAGAGTAACACTTCAGTACATGAACACGTCAGATGATCACTTTTTGGTTTAGGTAGCACAGACATTTTATGAACCACACTGATCACAAACGAATGCTTAGTTAGCTGCTTTGAAAAAAATATGTCAGCTTTCATAATAATAATTTGCTTTGTTCCAAAAACAGTACTAGTGGTACAGTGTGGAATTTTCAGCACATATCTACAATATTGCATCTAATTTTATCAAACATTTAAAAAGAGTATTTCAAAAGATAAATATAAAGACAACAACAACAAAAACAAAAAAACACAAAGATAATTTTAAAAATGCGAAAAAAATATCAAGAAGTAGAAAGGAAAATAAATATTATAATAAATAATGTCTCAGTATTGGGTAGTGGAAGCTATGATATGTTTATGCGCGGTGACAGTAAAGCTATAATCATACGAGAAGTTATGAAATAATATTTAAGAATGCTTATCGCCAAGAAGATTAGTTAATTTGGTTGAAACAACACTAAACAATCATAAAATGACAGTTTACAGTTTACAATTTATTTAGGATATTGGGCTATATGTCTGTGTTAATCCTTTCGATTTTTTACACACAGGAGGTCCAATCTCGCCTTGAATTGATCAACGGATGGCGCTGATACGACGTGTTCCGGTCGGGAGTTCCAATGGTTCACAATCCGATGCGAAAAGCGGTTGTTTTTTATTTTCAGCTCTAATGCGGCGTTTGTAGTGGTAGTGTGAGTAATCTTGCATAATATAAAATTTTAAGGTGGTGACAATGGCGTTCACAAACAATGATTGTCAGTTAATATTGCCGAACAAAAAAAAACAACAATCACAAAAACTAATAATTACATGATGGTTAATGACAGGACAATTTTGTACTACTCATAGTGCTAATATAGTCAGAACCAGTAGATACACAAAATAAGGAATACAGTAAAGTACAAAAAAGAAAGCCAATGTTAATAATTTAGGTAGCTAAGTATGTTTAAGATGGAGTTGACTATAGAATACAAAAAAAGAGAAAAATAAGAGACCCTAAAATTATGTTATTTATAACAAAGCAAGTCATAGGTTTCACACGTAACATTGTCTCTGTCACTTAGAACACGGGCCAAGTATGGTATCTTTGAGTTCTTGTACTTGATTGTACCAGCGTAGATTATTTTATACTGATTTGTGGTTCTGCTTGATGAAACACAAGGCGAGAGTTGGGAATAGAGGGGGTGTTGGGGGTCGTAGAGTATGGTTTTACACCATTTTTCGCCTGTATTCAGATGCCTTTTAACTAATGTAGTGACAAGCTGACTGAGTTTTACACAACTAGTCCTAGTGACTACCTTCAACATCCTTCTCAGGATGATATAGTCTTTTTTCAGTAGACCAGGAAAGACCAACGGGGAGCAGTAAAGTAGAATAGGTAAGATACAAGAGTTGACAAATTGTAAAAGTAGAGGTTGGGTGATTCCGGATTGTATTAGTTTCTTAATGTAGTAGGTAAGACAGAACACTTTCTTAGAAATCGGTAAGATATCAGATGTCCAAGTAAGGTCGGAAGACAGAACTAGACCAAGGTATTTTGCATTAGACCTAGTTTCAATTTTAGTCCCCTCAATGCAACAGGCTTCATGAGTACTTACAAGTGTTTGTAGATCTCGTTTCATGATATATGAGTAATGTTAAAATACATATAGTCTTCTTATCGTCATAGGTTTAAAAACAATTTAAATGGATCCAACTTTGTTCAAATGTTGAGGAAACCATTGATTGATATCAAGTGCTTGCCCCTTAAGTGGAACATGAGCAGGAAATGATGAGTTGCATGTGAGTTCAAGGGCGAAAGGAAGAAGATCTTTTGAGGAGAAAACGAAAGCTAAATGAAAATTGTAAAGAATAGTATTTTCCAGTCGAATATTACTGTTAAATAACCTGAAGGACAAGATCCCGCAGTTGACCAACTCTATGTGTGTTTATCAATTCACGTGCTCGTGTGGAGCTAAGTATGTCGGTCGTCCGACTCGAGCGGTGTCCAAGTGGGTGAAACAACACTACCTTGTATGGTTACGAAGAGGTGGTAGAGTAGTGATAAGAAGCGCTATCGTTGAACATCTGCTCAATTATGATCACCCTATCTCTATCGTCTACGCCTTTAAAGGCATCTAGTGAGAAAAGTAATTTACTCAAATCACTACGTACCCGACTCATCTGCATTGCTGTAGCTTTGGCAATCGAAAGACAAAAACCAAATCTCTGTATTCAGGAAAAGTTCGTTCAACCCCTCTAACTTTCATGGCCTTAATCCCTTTATGCTACAATTTGTTAATCCCTAATCATATTTTGCCTCTACCTATTTTTCGTCTTGTTTATTCTATTTGCATACGCTTTCTTTATTACGCCAACTTTAAATATTATTAATCTAATTCTGAATTTTCACCGGTATTACTTCACTTGTCATTCTAAATTAATTTTGTTTTGCAAAGTTGAATTCTATGTTATCGAATTTCTCACAATGCTACGTGATGTTTATAATTTTATTTGATTTGCCTACTAATCCTATAATTTCACACGCTTTCCAAGTCCTATACACCCTATGAATTGTTCTATATAC